TCCTTCTCCTTCTCCTTCTCCTTCTCCTTCTCCTTCTCCTTCTCCTTCTCCTTCTTTTATACAGGGACACAGGGAGCAGCCAACTGCGTTAATTTAGTACTTGCTTTATGGGATTCTAGTATCACTGTCAGTGGTTATATGATGAATGAGCCAATTTATTATTGAAAATCTCTTGCAGATAATATCTACTGTCCTAGCCTTAACAAGGACTGTATGCATATAATAATGGTTTAGGCAATTAATATAAATTAATCTATTCACTGCATTTTTGGGTGGAGACTATAATCTTCAGAAACTCCATATGGAAATGCTTGATGTTTGCTGGCTCTCAGCATGTCTAGTAAGGCACAAAGACATAGAAAAACAATATGAATCACATCTTTTTGGATTAGAAAAATTGAAGTGGTCTTCACTGGGAAATGACTTCTGAGGAGGAGGAGGAGGAGGAGGAGGAGGAGGAGGAGGAGCCATTGTCCTGTCTAGGAGTGTCTTCTCTGTATGTGCTTTGAAAAACATGTTTCTATCCAAGCGGTAGCTGACTGCAGGTGCTCAGCATGTCTTCTCAATATTTTTTTCTCACAGCTAAGGTGCAACAGGAGATTGACGAGGTGGTGGGTGCAAACCGCACTCCAAGCATGGAAGACCGGTTGAAGATGCCTTTCACAAATGCCATTATCCATGAGGTTCAACGGTATCGGAAAGGGAGCCTTGAGAACTTTCCACGGGCAACAACATGTGACACAACATTCCGTGGTTACAACTTTCCCAAGGTGTGGTGAAAGAACTGTTTATCAAGATTTTGGGGGGTGAGAAAGAAAGGATGACTTACAGATATATCCCCAGATCCTTCATATCCAAGGCAATTGGAATAAAAAAGCAGTTCAGAGAAATATCTATTAAGGCAGGGACTGCCCCTTCCTCTCCTTCCCTCCATGTTCACAGAGTGCTTGCAGAGTGCTCCCCACTGACCTGTTTTTATTTGAGGCAAGTGAGAACTGGATGCTCTTTCTGCTCTGTATGAACAACAACTAATGCAATCTGTTTCTTCCTCTCCCTCTAGTACACGGCTGTTTCTACAATGCTCACCTCTGCACATTTTGACCCTCTCCACTGGGAGACTCCAGAGAGGTTCAATCCAGATCATTTTTTGGATGAAAAGGGCCAATTCAGGAAAAGAGATGCTTTCATGCCATTCTCAGCAGGTAGAGTCCTCTGGAAGGCATTGGATGTGTTTTAAAGTAACATGCTTACTTATTCCATGCTATTCTTTTATCAGTGACAATTCCAGCAAGTGTACTTCCTAAATAAGCTTTGTTTTCTTCTTTGTTATTGCAGGGAAGCGGGCCTGTCCGGGGGAGGCCCTGGCTCAGATGGAGCTCTTCCTGTTCTTCAGCACTCTGCTCCAGAAATTCACCTTCCATCTTGTTGGGGACACTAAAGACATGGATATAACGTCTTTGTACATGGACTTCAGAAATAAGAATCAATACCCCCTTATACGAGTGGTTAAACGTTCAGCATGAACACTAATCAAGAGAAGGAAGGAAGGGGAGGTTTTGAAAAAAAATCTCAGCTGCAATTTTTTAGAAAGTATTTGGGGATATTAAGGAATTTTGAGTGAAACAGATCTAAAATACTTTCCCTTTCAAATATTCCTACTTAGTAAAGGCATATTCACTGTACATAAAAGACACTCTTCTGGCATTCATGAGAATTTATTATAGCATGCTGGGTTTTAGGAAGCATTTACCTAGAGAGAAGAGATACTCCAGGGGCCTCATTTAGCTGCACAGAAAAGATCTGATAACATTACAGATACTTTAACACAGGAACAATATGACTGTGATGTGTGATATTGCATACAATTTGGCATTAAGGCCATGCAGTGCTTCAAATTCAGTTTCCAACAAGATGCTTCAGAGTACAAAGGACTATGGTGATAGCACCTCTCTGTAGAACCTTAAAGCAGCTTTGTCTTTTTCTAGGATGACCCTGAGCCTTCGATCTATAAATGGGAAAAAATGGGAGAAACAGTTGATGCTTTCAATATATTTTCTCTGAATTATAGACTTCCAAATGAAATATAGAATTCCAAATGTATTTTAGTCTCAAAATATGTATTCTGTATGTGGGGTGTGTGTGTGTCTGTGTGTCTGTGTGTGTGTATGTCAATGGACACAAGTAGGTTTGCATGTCTCTGTACACTGTATCGGGAGGTGTTGATGAGTCCCCTCATTGGAGTTCACAGTGACCCAAAGGTAGATTTACTGAAGTCCCCACGTGTGAAAGAACTTGTCCTTGTAGCACAGGTGACATGGAGACCATCCTTCATGTGCTTTTATACTGCCCCTGTTAGCAGGGAAGTTGGCAAACCTTTATTCTCCCATTACTGATTAATTTTACAAGTAAAAATGAATATTTCTTCACTGATTTTCTTCTACCAGTCAAGAAACCTTTTATCACGTATAACACTGCCAGTTTTTGCACTGCAGCAATTAAAATACATAAACAGATAATTACAAGGACAGGGCACGGGCAAACGCATTGAAAGTCCTTTTCTTTTAATCACTGTCATAATTACTGATAAACTTTCTCAATCTGAGGTCAACCCTCTTAATTTAGACTTATAATAGCTTATTTTTTTAATTAACCAAACAAGTCTTATTGATCCTGTGGAAGTTCAATTGCTTTTCTTAAAATTTGTTGGGAGATTATTCGATTATATTTTTTTCTTAACATAGTAATATTTTATTACACCCCTAATTTAATTTTAAATGTCAGTCAGTCAATCTTTATTGATTAGCCTTCTGGCCATTTCAATTTCATAAAAACAA